CTGCTTCTTCTGCCCTGTATATGTAAAAATGCAGATTCACTGAGCCAGTGTATTCAGTGAATACACTGTGTATTGTGTATTCAGTGAAAGGCTGATCAAGGACTCAAAAGCATACAGCCTTTTGTCTCTTACCCACCTATGACCTGGAAGGCCCCCACCACTATCCACTTAGAATTATCCTGCCTTACCTGACTGAACCAATGTACATCTTACACATATTGATTGATGTCTCACATCTCCCTAAAATGTATAAAAGCAAACTGTATCCCAAACACCTTGGGTACATGTCATCAGGACCTCCTGAGGCTGTGGCATGGGTGTGTCCTTAACCTTGGTTAAATAAACTTTCTAAATTTACTGAGACCTGTCTCAGATATTTTGGGTTCACAGTACCTTAGCCCCCTCTGCCAGAGCTGGCTTGCTTTGTAACACGCTCCTGGCTTTTGACCTTGGTTGCATGTCTGCTCTCCATCCTCTGTGTCCAGTTCACTGTGGCACTAGATAGGGCACTAAGGGCACTTTCTTCTGGACTCTGGTTGGACTCTCCTTCAACTAGGGGAAAATTGGACAAGGAGGAGCTAGGCCATCTGTAGCGATGCTTTATCCCTCCTGTTGACCCTCAGGGTTAGTCCTGGGACAAGCTGTGAGGACGGGAGGAAAACAGAGGCTGGAAATTGGCCAAAACTTAACATTTGCCTGGGAATATCCCCACCTGGGTCAGCCTTTCAGCCTAGTTGATATTCTATTTGCTCTTCTTGACTTTACGAGCTCCCGAGGAGAGGTGACGGTAAGTTTACGAGCTCCTGAGGAGAGGTAATTGTAAGTCTACATAGGAATCAAGATGCAGCTAAATCACATGTGTGACCTGGCTAAAAGTTTTGCTCTGAGTTTTCCTCACATATCTACTAGGCTTATTTAGCCTTAGTAATACAGGGGGATATTTGGGGAGGGAGAATAAATTAGATATAGTACTTCTTAATTCCTATTTTAAGAGTCTCTATTCTTAAAAGATTATCTTGTTTAAACATTCAGATTATCCTCATCTAAAGATATCTTTTAGTCTCTTTTTGGCCTTTCAAAAACTTCTGACAGTAATTTCTACGCACTTGGAAATTAACTCTCACAGGGGGTTGCAAAATGGTGCCCCAGGCTTCTACTGGACCATCAGGCATGATTTGTTTTGCCATTTACTATGTTTGTATTTCAACAATTACATTTAAAAAATATTTCTAAGTGGTTCTTCCTAATTGCTTGTTCATGCGTCATGTTCCTGACATTCTTCCTTATTTTTATAAAGACATTTATTATGTTTATTTTTAATTCCCATTCTGTCTGTTCTACTGGTTCTGCTTTCTGTTTAGTAGGGTGTTCTGTTTATCGTCTGTCTGTTGCAGGCTGTTGTTCCTCAGATGTCACATAATTCCCACCTCCCCCCACCCCCCTCACCACCCCGCTGTAACTTTATCTTTATTGCTTTGGGACAACAATAGTCCTATGGCAGTACTTAGCTGTGGATTTTTTTTTTTCCCTTGAATGTAAAACATTTAGAATAGTGACTGGTGAAGAAAGCACTCTATACTTGCTAGCTAGGGTGTATTTTCTATGGCTACATAACAAATTACCCCAGACAGCGGCTTAACACTACACCTGTTTATTATGTCATAGTTCTGTAGGTTAGAAATCTGCCTGGGTTCATCCAGGGCCTCTAGCTCAGGGAATCCATGTCAGGCTGGCCTCCTACATCTGGAGACTCTGGGAAAGAATCCACTTCCAGGCTCATTCAGGTTGTTGGCAGAATCGCTTCTTGCAGTTGTTAGATGAATTTAGTCTTTTCTTGTCTTTAGTTGGATCACTGTTACCTTATAGAAGCTTCCCTCTGTTACTTGCCATGGGGCCCCCCATTTCAGAGCCCCTGTGCCACCTCATCAACTCCTTCTCATGGTTGGAATAGTTCTGACTTGCTCTTTGGCTAGTCTTTTAAATGAGTTTAAATGGCACATGTGATTAGATTGTGCCCACCTGAGAAAACCTCCCTTTTGCTTAATTCAAAGTCAACTGTGTAGTGCAATAATTTGCTAGTGTGCCATCACAAGATACCAGAAACTGGGTGGTTTAAACAACAGAAATGTGTTGTCTCAACAGTTCTGGAGGCTGAAAGTCTGAAATGGAGGCGTTTGGCAGGTTGGAACGTTCTGAGGACTGTGAGGGAGAATCCGTTCCATGCCTCTCTCCTACGTTCTGCCAGCCTTATGCGTTCCTCGGCTTGTAGACGGCCTTCTCCCTGTGTCTTTACATTGTCTTCCCCTTACTACTATCTGTCTGTATACACATTTCTCCCCCTTTTAAAAGTCAGGACATAAGTCATAATGGATTAGGGCCCACCCTAATGACCTACCTCATTTTAACTTGAACATCTGTAAAGACCCTGCCTTCCTTCCTTCCTTCTTCTTTCTTTCTTTCTCTTTCTTTCTTTCTTTCTTTCTTTCTCTTTCTTTCTTTCTTTCTTTCTTTCTTTCTTTCTTTCTTTCTTTCTTTCTTTCTTTCTTTCTCCTTCCTTTCTTTCTTTCTTCCTTTCTTTCTTTTCTTATTTTCTTTCTTTCTTTCCTTCTTTCCCTTCCTTCCTTCCTTCCTTCTCTCTCTCTCTCTCTTTCTTTCTTTCTTTCTTTCTTTCTTCCTTTCTTTCTTTCTTTCTTTCTTTCTTTTCTTTCTTTCTCTCTTTCCTTCTTTCTTTTTCACAGAGTCTCACTCTGTCACCCAAGCTGGGGCACAATGGTGTCATCACGGCTCACTGCAGAGGTTCCAGGGTTCTAGCAATTCTCCTGCCTCAGCCTCCTGAGTAGCAGGATTTATAGGTGCCTGCCCCCACACCCAGCTAATTTTGTAATTTTAGTAGAGACGGCGTTTTACCACGTTGGTCAGGCTGGATCACTCAAGTGATCCACCTGCCTCGACCTCCCAAAGTGCTGGGATTATAGGTGTAGGCCATCGTGCCCGGCCCATGTTTCTAAATAAGGTCATATTCACAGGGACTGGGAGTTAGGAATTCAGCATTCTTTAAAACCCATAAGAATTAGTAACCTTAATTAATCTGCAAAGTAAATGAGGGAACAGAGGCCAAAGAGGGTAAACCACTATCAGATGGCCTAGAACCCAGGCACGAGGACTCATTACTTCAGCCCTTCATCCTCTGTGTGTGTTCACAGTTCCCATTTAAATATGTATGTTATATTAAGGACTCCAACAGTAATTTGGAGTTTGGGAAAATTTCATATTCTGCCTTGATGGATTGGCAGATGAGACGTGTTTTAGGCAGAACCTGTTTATCAATAGGTGAGTGACTATGAAATGGGGGTAGAAACACACAGGGAAGAAACTAGATGATCTGCTGAAAATGAGAAGAAAAATTAGCTGCTGGACCTGCCAGCTGGCACCACTGCTCAAGTGGATTATGAGCTGAATATAGAAAATGTTAGGGAACAAAGAGCTGTATGAGTGTTCACAGCTGCTCTCCTCACATGTGTGACCCCTTCCCAAACATATTTTCTGAACGAACCACTTTCAGCAGGAAAGTGGTCTCTCTACGAGGAATAACAAACAAGACAGTCTCTACAACTGCTTGGGCAAAGAGAAGCTTTGCCGTGGAGGGGTCTGCTCTTACCTGTGTTCTGCAGAATGCTCTGCAGAGAAACACTCACTTTGTTCATGATTTGTCTAATTCCTGGAAAACATCAGCACTATAATTTAGGATTAGAGTCTATTGAAAAGATTTGCCGGCATTTAAAAAATATCAGGAAACAATGCGGTGAACTGCAGACTTTCTGAGAAATCCGGAATAATTTGGCCCACACATTTCCTCTCAATTGAGAACACAAGGTTTGGAATCAGGCCAGGTGACCTAGGTTATAGCTCTGGCTCTAACTACATGACCTTGTCCAAGTTACTTAATGTTCATAAACCTCCATTTATCTATCAATAAACAGGCCTAATAATACATACATACCTCATGGGGATGCTGTGAAGATGAGATGAAATCCATCATCAAGGAATGTTAGCTAGAATCAGAATCCTCATCACTACTACATTCTCGAAGTCTCCTTAGATTCAAATTGAACATTTTTAGGAATAATTTTTAAAAATAAAATCTACCTTTTCTTTGTAAATTTGCTTTTTAGTTTAATGCTTAATATTTTGGTCAGTTTAATGAACTCTTTCAGCATCCTAAAATTACATTAATATTCAGGACAACATTGCTTACTAAACTGTTTGGATTAGAAAATACAACATGAATGCAGTAAATTCTCTGGATTCAGAGTCCAGAGTGCTCACCATTACATCATAGAGCCCTATGATAAAATGCAGTAAATTCTCTTGTCAGGATTGCAAACTGACTCAATTGAAAAAACACTGTTTTATTTTTCTTATTTATTTATTTAGACAGAGTCTCTGTAGCCCAGGCTGGAGTACAGTGGTGTGATCATAACTCACTGCAGTCCTGAATATCAGGGTTCAAGTGATCCTCCCATCTCAGCCTCCCAAGTAGCTGGAACTACAGATATGCACTACCATGCCTGGCTAATTTTACATTTTTTTGTAGAGATGGTGTCTTGCTCTGTTGCCCAGGCTGGTCTCAAACTCCTGAACTCAAGTGATCCCCCACCTTCGCCTCCCGAAGTGTTGGGATTACAGGCGTGAGCCACTGCACCTAGCTAGGGAAAAGAATACTAAATGTGAACATCAAGAACCTTGATGTTATTTAACAGCCTTGTCACTAGCCAGTGGTATGTCCTCCAATGCCTTAAATCTTGGCTTCCTTCTTCATCAGATTTAGTAACTAAAGAAGCATAAATGAGTAAGCAATAAAGGACTCATAAAATAAAGGGTCTTGAGTTCTCTGGTGCTGCTATACCAGGGAAGTGGGGTCCCCACAGACCTGGAAATTCTGGCCCCTCTTTCTCAACTGAGTACAAATTGAGACGTCTGGGATTGATTTCCAAAGACTCATGTTATGTAAGGAAGCCACCAACAAGAGCAAGGAAAAGGAGCCAGGGATAGCTCTTCCTCAGGGACACTTGAGGAATGTGGCTATAGAATTTCAGGGATGTGGCTATAGAATTCTCAGTGGAGGAGTGGAAATGCCTGAACCCTATGCAGAGGGCTTTATACAGGGAAGTGATGTTGGAGAACTACAGGAACCTGGAGTCTGTGGGTAGCTCTTTAAAATCCATGATGGAGTTCTCATCAACAGGGCAAGGCAATACAGAAGTGTTCCACACAGGGACTTTGGAAAGACATGAAAATGATCACATTGGAGATTTTTGCTTCCCAGAAATTGAGAAAGATATGCATGACTTTCAGTTTCAGTGGCAAGAAATTGAAAGAAATGGCCATGAAGCACCCATGACAGAAATCAAAGAGTTAACTGGTAGTACAGACCGACATAATCAAAGTCATGCTAGAAACAAGCCTATTAAAGACCAGCTTGGATTAAGCTTTCATTTGCATCTGCCTGAACTGCACATATTTCAGACTGAATGGAAAATTGGTAATCAAGTGGACCTGTCTATCAATGATGCTTCCTCAGCTTCAACATCCCAAATAATTTCTTGTAGGCTCAAAACCCATATTTCTAATAAGTATGGGAAGAATTTCCTCCATTCTTCATTATTCACACAAATACAGGAAGTACACATGAGAGAAAAACCTTTCCAATGTAATGAGTGTGGCAAAGCCTTTAATTATAGCTCACACTTAAGGAGACATCACGTAACCCATTCAAGAGAGAAACAATATAAATGTGATGTATGTGGCAAAGTCTTTCATCAGAAGCAATACCTTGCCTGCCACCATAGAGTTCATACTGGAAATTAGTTGGCAGTCTAAAACTGGGATTTCAGCAGTAAAGACTGAAAATGTCAAAATTAGGATAATTGCTTGGACAGAATATTTGACGTTATTAGAGTGAATTATAAGTTGGATGATAAATTTATAGATATGAAAGGAGCTAGATGACCATAAATTATCTTTGGGAAGAAGAGTGGGAACTAGAGGGAGAGAGGTCAAGAGAGATTCACAATAGTCTATGCATCATTATAAATGTGCACATGTCCTCGTGGTCAGGCAGCAATGTTTGAAGATACAGGTGAGTGCCTGAAATGAAGAAATACAGCTTTGCTAAAACAACATGCTGACCAAAAATAAAAATAAAAAGAAGAAGGCCGGTCACGGTGGCTCACGTCTGTAATCCCAGCACTTTGGGAAGCTGAGGTGGGTGATCACCTGAGGTCCGGAGTTCAAGACCAGCCTGGCCAACATGGCAAAACCCTGTCTCTACTAAAAGTAAAAAAATTAGCTGGGTATAGTGGCATGTGTCTGTAATCCCAGTTACTGGGGGGCTGAGGCAGAAGGATTGCTTGAACCTGGGAGACAGAGTTTGCAGTGAGCCAAATCATGCCACTGTACTCCAGCCTGGGCAACAGAGTGAGACTCCATCTCAAAAAAAAAAAAAAAAAAAAAAAAAAAAAAAAAATAGGAAAAGGAGAAGAAAAGGAAAAGAAAGACAAGAGAAAAAAGTCTTTGGGCCTAACAAAGTACTGAGTAGGCATGAGGTCGGAGAGTCAATGTCCATTGAATTTTTGTGGCTTTCAACACTGCTGGTTCATCAGAGGAATAGATGGGTTACAAACCATCTTGCTGGGAATCAATAGGAAAGTAAATGATGTGAAAGTAGAGAGAAATCTTTTGAGTTTAGGAGTGAAAAGAAGGAAAGACTGCATATGGTAGCCAAAAGGGATGAGGAGGGGAAGGGAAGAGAAATATGTCATCTATGGAGATAGAGGGAAGGAAGCATATTATCAGGGAAAGGTTGAGGTGAGATCACAGGGCACTCACATAATCAAGTGGAATTAAGCTCTGAAATGTTAGCCTAAAATAGTAATAATCTTTACATATTTACTTATTTGGCAGAATGATTAGCTGAGAAGCAAACTCTTTGTTAAAAGCAACTTCTCTGTTTCTGGAATTCATCCTTATTATTTTAAATAAAGGTAGACTGTAACTAGACTAAGTTATAAATGTGTTGGTGTTAAAGGTGTGATATTACCTTATTAATTTGAATGACTGGCCCTGATTTCTTCCAATTTAAAAATTTTATTTAGCTAGTCCAGGGAGTCTTGTTTTGCTTGACAGCTGCCTCTGATGCTGGCACACAGTGACCTCTTTCCAACCTTCTGCATCCAGCCTTTATGAGAAGGGGAGCTAACAAACTAATTAGACTGGTAGCTTAAAAAAATATCAATCTTGGTGCACACCCAGGCCAAAAAGTCTTACATATACAAAAACAGAACATTTGCGTCTGCCCAACTGTGCAAGACTGCTAGCCTCAGGCTTTTATCTCACACTTAAAAACTGGTTTTATTTTGCACTTTGGAATACTGTGTAGAAGTCTGACACATTTGTAGGATTAAAAACGACATTCGAAATGATGAGATCTACATTGGGAAAATTAAGTGTGAACAGATTTGGAGATATAACTGAACAATTTGTCACTGATGGAAATGTGCAAGCTCTGCCTCCCAAGTTCAAGTGATTCTCCTGCCTCAGCCTCCTGAATAGCTGGGACTACAGGCGCCTGCCACCATGCCTGGCTAATTTTTGTATTTTTAGTAGAGATGGGGTTTCAGCACACTGACCAGGCTGGTCTCGAACTCCTGACCTCATGCCATCCACCCACCTTGGCCTCCCAGAGTATTGGGATTACAGCCGTGAGCCACTGCACCCACCCAAAAAGGTGTTAATTTCTTATACCGCATAAAGAAAAAAAAACATGTATTAATAGTTGGCTTGTGAAATATGGTATTTTCTGCCCAGCTCCTGGTAGAATTGTTTTTGCTGAACATGACTATCATGTCAGTAGGGTTTTAGTTATCAGTGCCAGAAGGGAAGTCGAAGATAAGGCACAATATTTCTCAATCCACTGGCCACCTGCATCAGAATTACTTAAGGTGTTGTTTAAGGAAATGCAGCTTCCGGCGGGGCACGGTGGCTCACACTTGTAATCCCAGCACTTTGGGAGGCCGTGGCAGGTGGATCACGAGGTCAGGAGTTTGAGAACAGCCTGGCCAATATGGTGAAACCCTGTCTCTACTAAAAATACAAAAATTGGCTGGGTGTGGTGGCACACACCTGTAGTCCCAGCTGCTTGGGAGGCTGAGGCAGGAGAATCGCTTGAACCCAGGAGGAGGAAGTTACAGTGAGCAGAGATGGTGCCACTGCACTCCAGCCTGGGCAACAGAGCAAGACTCCATCTCAAAAAAAGAAAATGCAGATTCCACGTTTTCATACTGGATCTACTGAATCTCTGCAGGAGGGTCCTGATAATTCACTATTTTAATAAGCACTTAGGTGTTTCTTATGAAAACCAAAGTTTGAGAACTAGATTTTGAAACATACAACTATACTTAGATTCAGTACTGTTCAGAGGGAGCAAAAATTGGTGTATCCTTTACAATGTGCCAATTTTTCATGCAATCTCTTTACCAGAATTTAAAATGTACACATCCTTTGACGTAGCCATTCCATTTCTAGGAATTTATCTAACAGAATAATTGAATAAGTGTGCATGGACATTCGTTAAAACAAACTGTCCATTACAAAATTGCTATTGTAGGAGAAAAGTGGTAATAACGTAAATGCCTACCAAGGAATGTTATGTATCAAATACTGTTCTAAGCACTTCAAAAGCAGTTAAGTCATTTAATCCTCATAACATTATATAGTAATAGAATATAAAACATATATTAAAATATAATCTTAATACTATTATTATCCCTCATTTTACAGATGACAAAGCTGAGGCACAGAACAATTAAGCACTTATCCAAAAATCACACTGCCGGTAAGCGGCACAGCCAGGACACAAAGCCAGGTAGTCTGGCTCTAGAGTCTGTGGGCTTAATCCTGTACTATTTGCCTCTCTCAACATTCTACTGCCTTCACATAATCATTATATATATTTTTAATTTACAAAAATTAAATTTAAACATGAGTGAGCTAGTATAGGTGGCTTTCTTTTTCTTTTTCTTTATTTATTTTATATACTTTACGTTCTGGGATACATGTACAGAACATGCAGGTTTGTTACATAGTATACACATGCCATGGTGGTTTGCTGCACCCATCAAACCGTCATCTAGATTAGGTAGTTCTCCTAATGCTATCCCTCCCCTAGCCCTCCACCCCGCAAAAGGCCCCGGTGTGTGATGTTCCCCTCCCTGTGTCCAAGTATTCTCATTGTTCAACTCCCAATTATGAGTGAGAACATGTGGTGTTTGATTTTCTGTTCCTCTGTTAGTTTGCTGAGAATGATGGTTTCCAGCTTCATCCGATCCCTGCAAAGGACATGAACTCATACTTTTTTATGGCTGCATAGTATACTGTGTTGTATATGTGCCACATTTTCTTAATCCATTCTATCACTGATGGACATTTGGATTGGTTCCAAGTCTTTGCTATTGTGAACAGTGCCGCAATAAACATACGTGTGCATGTGTCTTTATAGTAGAATGATTTGTAATCCTTTGGGTATATACCCAGTAATGGGTCAAATGGTATTTCTGGTTCTAGGTCCTTGAGGAATGGCCACACTGTCTTCCACAATGGTTGAGCTAGTTACACTCCCACCAACAGTGTAAAAGTATTCCTATTGCTCCACATCCTCTCCAGCATCTGTTGTTTCCTGACTTTTTAATGATCACCATTCTAACTGGCATGAGATGGTATCTCATTGTGGTTTTGATTTGTATTTCTTTGATGATCAGTGATGATGAGCTTTTTTTCCATGTTTGTTGGCTGCAAAAATGTCTTTTTTTGAGAAGTGTCTGTTCATATCCTTTGCTCACTTTTGAATGGGGTTGTTTGTATTTTTCTTATAAATTTGTTTAAGCTCTTTGTGGATATTAGCCCTTTGTCAAATGCATAGATTGCAAAAACTTTCTCCCATTCCGTAGGTTGCCTGTTCACCCTGATGGTAGTTTATTTTGCTGTGCAGAAGCTCTTGAGTTTAATTAGATCCCATTTGTCAATTTTGGCTTTTGTTGCCATTGTTTTTGGTGTTTTAATCATGAAATCTTTGCCCTTGCCTATGTCCTGAATGGTATTGCCTAGGTGTTGTTCTAGGGTTTGTATGGTTTTAGGTCTTACGTTTAAGTCTTTAATCCATCTTGAGTTAATTTTTGTATAAGATGTAAGGAAAGGGTCCAATTTCAATTTTCTGCATATGGCTAGCCAGTTTTCCCAAAACCATTTATTAAATAGGGAATCCTGTCCCCATTTCTTTTTTTTGTCAGGTTTGTCAAAGATCAGATGGTTGTAGATGTGTGGTGTTATTTCTGAGGCCTCTGTTCTGTTCCATTGGTCTATGTATCTGTTTTGGTACCAGTATCGTGCTATTTTGGTTACTATAGTCTTATAGTATAGTTTGAAGTCAGGTGGTGAGATGCCTCCAGCTTTGTTTTTTTGTTTTTTTGTTTTTTTTTTTGCATAGTGCATAGGATTGTCTTGGTTATACAGGCTCTTTTTTGGTTCCATATAAAAATTAAAGTAGTTTTTTCTAATTCTGTAATGAAAGTCAGTGGTAGCTTGATGGGGATACCATTGAGTCTGTAAATTACTTTGGGCAGTATGGCCATTTTCACCATATTGATTCTTCCTATCCATG